TAATAGAAGTGCTTTTTAAAAATCATATGAGGAGATCTTATTCTCTATCTTATTATCTGTTATCAGTCCATAGAGATCATTCATTTTCATACCCTTCTTGATATTCCAGTACACGAATATACACTATTTATTTAGCCATTCCTTGTTAATAGACTAGCTCTTTTCAAATACTTGTTGTATCAATGTCTTCAAAACTTTTTTGCTTTCACACTCTCCACCAAGATGTTGAACCGCCCATATATCTTCTCATGTATTTCTAGGTAGATATCTCACTTTTTCATCATAGTTGCAAAGCATGTAATTTTTGGAGGTTTTTTGTAAATATTGGCATTTTGAAAAACAAAGATTTTAAATCAGCCTTAAATGTATCAAGTGAAATATATCATTGCAGAAATTTTATATCATGTTTTCTGTCCTTGAATTCCTTTGTTTCACTTCTGTGGACTTTTATCTCAAGATGATATATTTTTATCATATGTATTTCAAGCATTTTATCGATCAGCCTATCCTACGTATCTGCAACAAAAGTATTTATATAAATTGGATTTTTAAGCTTTTATTAAACCTTAAAGTGTAAACATTTCTTCTAAATTGTTTTTATAGTTATCAGAATAATATAATTGACCAAAACAAATGTTACAAATTTTGATTAAAAATTACTTTTTATGTTTACTTACTGAAAATGACTGTCATTTACTTAGATGGGATTTTTTTTCCCCATGCATTCATGTATCTTTGGATCATTACTACTTATTGCAGGAATGAAACAATGAATTATTTCTGTTCCTAATCTTTCTGTTTTTATAGCTGGTAAACATTGAGAAACCTCAGTAGTCTTTATGGTTAGCAAATTAAAAATCATAGAAATACCTTTAAGAGTCTGGGAATGGAAGATGTCTTACTACAATGCCACTCAGTTATTTTCTTTCCTTTTAAATTAAGTGTCCAAAAATCACATAGTAATTATTGCATCATCAGAAATTATTTGTGATGGTCATCAACTATCAGTGTAATTTTATGAAAGCTAAAATTGTGAGGTTTTATTAGAGGCATTCACGTTTCCCATAGATTCCAGCATTTTGTTTGCCTCCCTGCTCCCAAGGCTTTTTTACCCCAGAGTAACGTACCACATTAACATGTGGGTGGTTAGGAGCTATGCGTCTCTTTAGTGAAAGGGGAGAGGAAAACTGGTATGGTTCCTGAGAACCAGCCCAAAGCCTGGACCACAAAGGCAATCTCAGAAAGAATTCAGATAGAAATTGAGGCGCTGTGGCTGGGTCTCTTAAAACTCCTAACCCATTTGTTCTGTTAAGTCAGTGCAGGAGTGCATGTACCCAAGTTGGAAGACTACTGTTTATATAAAACACTATAATGTATATTTGCGTATTTGTCTAGTTATTTCCTCAGGATAAATTCCCACTTAGGAGAAAAGTAAGTTTAAAAGTATACACATTATGACAGTGCTACCAGTAATGCCAAATTGTGATTGTTGACAGCCTCACAGAGTCATTCACAACCTTTCCCATACTCTCACTTTGTTGGGATAGTCTTTTTTGCCAGTCTGCTTGAGTTTCTATTATTACCATTGAACTTTTAACATTTTCCACATGTTTTTATGTGTATTTCTTCATGTTGTGTCTCTATATTTTATTATTCATTTTTGTCTTTAGTTCTGCTTAGAAATTCATTCATACTTTGACAAATATGTGACAGTATCCTTCACCACCATGACCAGTTCATTATTCTTTCAGCCTCATTTGTGATTTGTTTTGCCAGACATACATTTGTTTGTTTTAGTAGCTTATCTAGACAACTTTAGGGTAGTTTCAAGTCATACTTACACAGTTTTATGAATTTCGTGCTCTTCCACCAGATTACATACAAGTTCATTCATATTTTATTCCTAGTAGTTTTATTTTTTCAGATGTGCATTTTTTTATATGAAGTTTCTTTGGGTATGAGGAGATTTATCTTTATATATAGATTACATGTTTAAGTAATATAGTAAGAAGACAAAGTCTTAGAAAAATTTCTTAACATTTTGGGAAAAATATAAAAAGTTACAAATAACATAACAGCTATCCATCTAGTAGATAATTGACTTTATTTTTTTTTTGTATTTTTTCAATCTTTTTTTTAAAAGATGGTGGAAGTCCTCTTTGACTACCATCCCCAGGCCCATTCTGTCCATCATGTCCCCTTCCATCCTAGAGGATCCATTATTATGAGTTCAGGTTCCTTTCCTATTCTTTTGTGAGCCCTTACATATGCATCCTTTAACATATGTTCTTAGTGAATTTTTAAATTTAAATGACATATAACACTGTATAATAAGAATATTCTACAACCTGCTTTTTCATATCTATTTAATGAAATGATTTTGAAATTTATATATGTTGTGTATTGATGTAGTCTTTTTTTTAACAGTATTCCATCATGAGTACAGAATATTTTATATAGCCATTACCTACTACATGAGCATTTAGATTGCATCTGATTTTTTTATTGTTATAGACAGTGTTATAGTGAATATTCTTGTGTGAGTCTCACTGAGCATTTATGAGAGATTCTGTAGGGTTTGAAGTCAAATTGTTTTAGGTCATGGCACATTTTCTTATGTGTATAGGTGCATTTTCAATTTAGTTAGATACTGTCAAATTACCCTCTTATTGGTTGAAACAGTTGCCACTCCCATCAGCAGTGAATCTGATGAGTGAAAAATCTGATGAGTGAACAATACTTTGGTGTTGTTCTAATGGATTTTTTTGACTCTGGTGATGCTAAGCACCTTTTTGTATGTTTACTGGGCAGTTGGAGTTCCTCTTATATGAATTGTCTGTTCAAATCATTTGCCCATTTTCCTATTGCATTCTCATTTCCTTGTTAATTATAAAGGTTCTTCATTAATTCTGAATACTGCTCCATTACTTTTATGTACATTCCAAATGTCTTCCTCCAGTATATCTTGTCTTTCACCTTATACTTAATTCCACTTCAGTTTTTAATTTTGAGGTAATCAAATGATTGGCTTTCTATGGTTGTTTTTCACTGTCATGTGGTTCATGATTTTAAGGTTATCTTTAAGAAATTCTTCCCTAACCTGAGGTTAGAAGGATACCCATTGTATTTTCTTCTAATAGCTTTAAAACTATATGTTCCTATTTAGATCTTTAATCTACCTGGATTGTGTGTAAAGTATAAGGCACTTTGTCCCTCGAGTGAAAAGCCTGTCCTCAATACTTTGTACAGTCAGAATATCAGAGCTGTGTATTTTTGACTAGTAGACACTGTATGGTATATATAGGGTTTGTATACTATAGTCGAGTGCTTTGAGCCTTCCTGACTGGTACCCCTCATTTTCCTCTGTGCATTGACTGTCTAGATGCCCTACTCTGAAAAGTTTGCTTTTGGGGGGCATCAGTTTATATGTGTGTAATCAACATGTTTATGCTTTAGAAAGCATAATTAAGCAAAATGAAAATAAAAGCCATTTATACTTGTTTCATTCTAGAGCATTAGCTACTGTTTAGGTTTTAGAGGTAAAGTCTTCCCACCTTGTTACATCAGTATAATGATAATAGCATTTGTTGAGCACCTTCTATGTGCCAGGTACTGTTCAGCTGCTTTACATGTATTAATTCGTTTAATCTTCACAGTAGCTCCAAGGGGATAGGTATTATTGCCTTCATTTTACAGATAAGGGAAGTGAGGCACCAAATATCTGATTGGTGGACTTTTTCAAGAGTGTTTCTTTTTAATTTCTAGTTCTTATGAAAATACTATTCATGTGGTTGTATAACCTGCTTTTTTCATATCACTAATTATCCTTCTCTGCATGCTATTAGTATCCTATTGTATTCATAATATACTTAGTCATATCACAAATTCTAGACATTTGAATTGTTTGCATACTTAAATCATTATAAGATTTCTATGAATACTCCTCTAGCAAAATTTCTGCCCACCTCCCTGTCCTTCTGATCTTCTTTCAGATAATTTAGTGATCAGAAATTAGTATTTTACTTCACTTTCCATTTCTCTGATTACCCATTAATATTGAATATTTTTATATAATCATGTGCTGTTTTCTTCTGTTCTCATATATTGCTTTTTCTTTCCCCAGCTATCTATTGATGTTCATCTTTTCTCTGTTGATTTGTAACTTCAGTACTAAGCATAGCAAGCCCTTTTCATAAATAAAGCATAATATGGTATACTTCGGCAACTCCCACCCCAAGATTATATAAATATTCACTACTTCTTATACTTTGACTCTCTTATATTTAATTCTGTAATTCATTTGGAATTAGGTGGGGACGAAGGGTACGATATAAGGAAGGAAACCTACCTGACACTTCCCTTTCCAAAATTACTTTTTTGACATGGTATCAGTTAATGAACAATCCATACTTCCCCCCACTGGTTTGACATGTATATAATCAGTGTGTGTGTAACCTTTGCTATATAACTACTTTCTTATACATAATCACATAGGAATTTCTCAATTTTCTTGTTTTATTGATCTATTTGTTTAGATTCCGGAACAAAATTTATTAAATCTTCTGTCATGTGGCTTTAATTAGCAATTTTCATTTCTGTCCTTCACCTGTCATTCTAACAAATTTCCTTTTTTTTTAAGTCAGTAAGTTGTGGCTACGATGTCCACATTCGCAGCTTCAGTTTATTCGATTTGGTTGCAAATGCAAAGCAGAGCCTTTAAAAATTCATCTGGCCTTCTGTACCAGTAAATAGTGAGCATGCAAATGTATCAAAATGATGTCACTGTAGCAACTTGTCTGCATTTAGAAAGACTGTGACAAGGCTTGTGTTTAATAGATAATGTTTTATATATACTTTTTAATATTTAGCCAAATTACTTGATTCAAAACAAGTGACCCCAGTATGAAAAGTTACTGTGAATGAATAATTAACAGTAAGAAGTAATTTTATGGCTTTTATGGTTTCATTTATGTTGGGTTTTGTTTTTTCCCCTCCTCTAGGTAGCCTTTCCAGTAAATATATGACTCAGGGAAAAGCCTCAGCGAAGAGGACCCAGCAGGAATCATGAGGGAAGGAAAATGCCGCACTCTAAATGGCCACTCAGGCGTTCCTACTCACTTTGAAAATTAGGTTCATTTCACAGGACACAGCAGCATAGATCAGGCTTCAACTTAACATTTAAGGGAAATGTCAGATTTTTTTTAACTTAATGAAATTGTTAATGAGGAAAAAAAATTTTAATATAGTCCTACCTACTACAAATCCCTATAGATTTAAGGATTTTAATAGAAAGCCATGATGTATGTATTTAAGAAGACAGGTTAAAAAAAAATGTAACTATGGGCCAGTATTCAGTGAATACAATTTCATGGTTTTTAATAATCTCAAAGCACACTAAAAATGGTGTGCTGATAAACTCCAAGTAAATTAATCCTTTTTTCCTTTATAAATTTTTTCTTTGAAGAGGGGAAATTATATTTATTGTTGTTGACTGAATCCTTGTGTGAAAGCGTGTCAAATATGTGTGAACTGCTACTACTGTATTTACGATTTACAACCTTATTTTATTGATATTTGTAGAAGTGGTAACGTGAACGTGAGTACCTATTTATGTGAGCCTTCCGTGGATGAGCAGTGCCACTGGGGGGCTTTTTTTCCCCCCGTCTCTAATCTTAAATAAGTTAACATATAACTACTATGCTCATCAAAATGAAGTAAGGAAAACAAGAGTCCTGTTTGCTGCTAAAAACATTTTCAGACAAAAAAATGACAAAAGTACTTTTTACTTTTTATGATATTCAGAAATTAGGGTGGAGAACTTTTAAAAATCCCTGAAGATTAAAGAGGCAATCTCTGCCAATCATGAGTTTGATTGGTGTCATTTTGGTCCGACTGGAGCCCTCATGGAAATGTTCCTCTAACTTCACAAGCCCTTCAGAAGTAGTACATGGTCAGAACTATGCCTCGGTTTATTTATCATACTGAAATAAAATCAAAATTTCGACCTTTAATTTTATCCACATTACTTTCCAGTGAGGGTCCTAAGTTTCATGAGGAAAGGAGGGCAAGGATGAAGGGCAGTACAGATCTGCTCCTCTTTATCCCGTGCTCCCTTGACTTGTGCTGAAGAGACCTGGTGTTCATTGACACCCGATGTGTGCTGAGCACTGGGAATGTGCAGATAAGAGGCACAGGGGTGAACAGATAGAGGGCTGCAGGGGGTGCTTGCTGGGCACGCGTTCCCGGATACGAGGGAGCTCAGACACTAACACACCTTGTGTGCCCTTCTTTTAAACAAATTACTTGAAGACATTTGCCAGCTAAAGAATCGTATCAAAATTAACTTTAGAATCAAGAAGTTATAGTAAAAGAATGAGCGATCATTCCTTACTCAGTTCTGAATGAACACAAACTCGTGAACAAACAAGTGAATTAGGCACCTGGTGCTGAAACTACGTGACTTTCCTCAGCTGCACCTCTTCTGATTTCCTCTCTTGCCCTCATGCATGAAAGTCACCTTGATGAGACATACAAATTCTTGTCACACTTTCTTAAAAAAACCTGTTGATGCCATTCTGTTGACTTCTGGCATAGCAGAAGACTGAGGCCAGCCTGACTTTTTGTTCCCTTCTAGGTTTTATTTTTCTGCTTGGATGCTTCTGTATGTATTTCTCCCTATAACTTTTATACCAGTGACTTTCATCTGAAACAAAAGTGAATCTCTCACCACCCAATTTTTTTTTAATTTGCGAAAATATAGTCATAATTCTGTTTCTCAAAAATACTTTTGTCTTTTCTCAAATTCCTCTATCATTTCTTTCCTTCCTGTTAGGAAAACTTGTCAAGTGTAGTCTTCCCGTGACTGGTTGGACTTTTTAGTGTCATTCTGCTGTTTTGCTGTTTCTAACATGAATCTTGTCATTGCACTTCTAATTTTCTTGAACTTAACCTCACCCACCACCTTCCTTTTCCTCTCATTCTTTTAGTTTGCTCTTATTTTCTTCCTTTTCATAGAAACTGTGTTTTCTTATGTCCCTTTAAGGATGTCGAAGGTCTCCTACATTTTATTCTGATTCCTACAGTAGATTCTGCCCAATGTATTTGATAGCTTTTTGTTTGATTTTCACTTCCTCACACTGGATCAGTGGGACAGTGACCCGTGTTTGCCAGCAGACCTGAAACATGGACTGTCCTTGGTTCCTCGATCCCTTTACTTGGGTGCTGGTCACCGCCCCTTCTCAGCATCCCAGATAGGGGACAGGTACATCTGCTCCCTGCTGAGCCCAGTTCCCAGGGCGTGGCTATCTTTCACATGCAGCTGGCCTGTTTTAACAAGCTCCAGAAATGCCCCACTACCAGAGTTCTCCCTTCCTCTTTCTCTCAGGAAGAAACAGAAACATGAAATCCATTTTTTATACTCCCAATCTACACTTTTTAATCTCCTGCTCAGTGTGTACAGTAGCAGGAATGTGCACACTTAGAGATGTTACTTAAATGTTGAGATAACTTCAGTTTATTTTTCATTTTGAAATGTGTTTCATCATTTGTTTTGTTAAAAAAAAAAACAACTCTCCCTAATGGGAAAAAGCACTGGGTAGATAGGTCACTAGGGTTCACAGTGTTACAAAAAATTATTGAAAAGCAATTTAACAAACCTCCATAAAGCTGCAAAGATGTGCTCAGTACATTTTTCTTTGAAAGCAAGCTTGTTTGGACAGTAGTAGTAAAGAATTTTGCACACTTTTCACTGAGTAGAATTCTAGACTTAATTAATTCTAGGTCTGGCACTGACTGCTGTTCTTCAGCTGAGAGGGTAGCAAATCCCTCTAACCTCTTGGCAGTTCATTTTCCTTGCCCGTAAGGTGGAAATCATACCTGCCCTTCCACTGTAAGGATCAAGCACGGCCTTACTAGGAAAACCCTCTTTTTAAATGTCTAGAACCCTGAAACGCTGAAGTGCAATGGTGAAGGTTTCCCAGTTGTAGTCTTTTAACCTATCTGGAAATCTAGAAGTGATTACAACTTGCAGACTCCTTCAACAGTGCTCACGCCCGCCTCATTTTGACACCACGGGACAGCTGCTGCTCTGAGATAAAGGAGCATACGTATTTTTACATTGTCATCAAGACTCTTCTAACATGCCAATTTACTTCAGGGATCTGCATCAGTTAACAAATAATATTAGGTATGCCTGATCCACTGACAAGTAGATTAGGTGATTTTGCGCTTTCATGCAAAACAGCTAACAAGTGAAAGACTGAATTGCATGTATAAAATAGAGAAGAGAAAGCTGTTAAACATACACAAGATCCTGAATCAGAAAATTTAGGACTAGATTTTTTAAATAGTGTCACGTGCTCTCTACCAAAGAGCTTGAGTTTAAGCATCATTAATAAAACAGCCATGCCAACTCTCCCGCCCTACTAGGCTCAAGGTTGTAAGGCTCCAATGAGGTCCTGTGTTCATGGGTTCTTCTGAAACCTGTAAAGTGCTACACAACTGTATAAGGTCATTTCAGTAATTGATAAAAATGATACATGGCATTTTGTTTACATTTTTATTAATAAACTTTACTTTTCAGAGTAATTTTAGGTTCACAGCAAAACTGTCCAGAAAGTAGAGCTCCCATATGTCCGCTGTGGTGCACCAACCTCCACCGCTATCCACATCCCGCACTGGAGTGGGACGTGTTACAGATGACCGTATACAAGCACATCATTATCACCCAGGGTCCATTGCTTAGGGTTCCTTCTTGGTGTGACACATTCTATAGGTTTGGACAAATGTATACAGAATATTTTCACAGTTAACGGCATCTTGAAATATCCACTAACAATTAGCACTGTTTATGAAGTGCTGCCATGTGTCATGCACTCTTCCAAGTACTTTTCATTTAATATTTCGTATCTGTAGGAGGGCGGGCATGAGAAGGAAAATGCCCTGTCCCAGATCACCCAGCTACTCAAAGATGAAGCCAGGTGACAGTACCTCACTACCAGTGCCTAATCCCAGTTTCTTCTGTGCACAGCGGCCTTGAGGGAAAATATAACCATCCTCTTACTGCCAATTGCGATTGCATTTCAATAGCAGAAAGACAATTACTTAACGAATTTTGAACTATCCAATCCTATAGGCTCTAGGAGATGAAGGATAAAATGGGCTCCCATAAAAGCTTCACACCGCGCATGGCCTTGCCCAACCCGGCCTCGCCCCACCCGGCCCCGCCCAGCGTCTAAAACTAAATTAAAAATTTAAAAACTTAACTGATTAGTTCTTTCCACATCGAAACACTGAGCAAGAATCCACCTCTCCAGCACCACTCCACAGAATCCCTCCTTTTTTCCCGTTACCTCTAGCACGTCTACGAGAAAAGCCGCCTATCCTGATGTTTTCCTCGCATCTGCTACCCTGTTGCACTTCTGTCCCACCAGCATCTTACTCTTCCCCGGACCTTCCGTTTACCTGGCTTCGGCCTATGCCCGGGTAAAGAGCGCCACACAGTTCCTGGGGCTCAGGAATATTTGCGGAATTAAAAGGCGGAAGTCCCTGAGCTGCCCAGTCATGTCTTACAGTAAAGTTGGGTTCCAAATTCAGCACCTAAAGCGAACATTGCGTTAGTACCATTCTTCAACATCCCAAGCAGCTTGGCGAAAGAGAGAAGAGAGAAGGAGGAGGTTGTTTATCGAGAATCTGCGATAATTCTACACCCTTAAGAACTGTCTAGCTAAACCAAAAAAAGAAAGACGGAAATACATGTAGCTGTCCGGGCCTGAAAAATATTCTGCCCTTGAGAGCGCCTACTCCCGTGCCGGTGGATTCCTCTGCGTTCTTAAGCTGCAGCGCCGCACCTTGCCGAGGGAGCAGGTCACGGAACGACGCAGCTCCAGCGTCCATAAGTCGGAGCTCACTCCGCGTGCCCCAGCTTGGCTCGCGACCACGCGCAGAGACCTTTAGCAGGCTGACGACCGTTCCCGCGACCCCTGCGCCCCGCGTCACGTGACCACGCCCGAGGTGCCACGCCCCGCCCTCCACCGTCACTCACGCTGCCCGCCCAATAGCGGCGGCGGGGGCGGGCCCGCGCAGGGCGGAGCCTGGGGCTCCGTGCGCCGGAGCTTGTGGCGTCAATGCGCCCGCCGTGTCCATGGAGAGAGGTTGAGGTGGCCGAGCTCTGGCCCGAGGCACCAGGACACCGGGACGGCGAGGATGTCGGCTTCGTTAGTCCGGGCCACTGTCCGAGCTGTGAGCAAGAGGAAGCTACAGCCTACCCGGGCCGCTCTCACCCTGGTGAGTGGCTGGGGCGCGCGGCCAGGCTCTTGACATTGGTTCACCTCCGCCCCCGTGAGGGGGGTGCACAGTGGCGAGGCGCGGCAGGGCCAGGCGGTGAGGCCCGAGACCGGCTCCACAGCCGCCGCATCGTTCCCCCCGCCCCATCCCCAACTCGCCCCTGTTGAGGAGATAAACAAGCGCGGGCGGGGCTGCTCCGCAGGACCCGGGCGCCCGGGAACTACGTTTCCCGGCAGGCCGCGCGCCCCGCGTGCGGGGGAAGGGGACGGGTGCGTGCGGGCCCCCGGCGTCCGCGGCGGCGTTCCCGGAGCCTGGGACCGCGGAGGGTCTTGTCGCGGCATCAGTGCTTGGGGTCGCGTGTTGTTTAGAGGTCGGTGTTCCAGTTACCGGCGGTAGCTGCCCTGAGGCGCTCGGGGAGAGCGAGCCTCGCGGAAGGGCCACAGTGTGAGTGCGGGAGCCGCGGCAGAGACAACAAAGCCCTCCCCCTTGCTGAGATCAAGGCTGCAGTGCACAAAGGGTGGCTTCCTGGTGTCTGGGGTGGTAGAGGCTTTTTGAAACCCACTCTGTGCCTCCAGCAGTCCTAGGCCGTGGTCGGCTCTTACAAAGGACAAAGAAGGATAAATTTCCACCCTGAGTGAGTTTACAGTTTTCTGGGTGAAAGGTCAAACACACTCAAAGGGCACCAGAGTACATGCTGCAGTTACTTTCAGAATTTACTGCGCAAGCTGGATCCCCAGCGTATTGTGCAGGTTTTTAAGCTGAGAGGAAATTCTCACAAAATTAACCTTTTTGAAGCATTCGATTCAGTACCATTCAGTACGTTCACAGTATGTGCAACTATCACTTCTGTCTAGTTCCAAAACATTTCGCTCCCCCCCCAAAAAAAACAACCCTCGTCTCCATTAAGCAGTCCCTATTTACAGTTTTGAAAGATTAACTTAATAGGAAAGCTGATGATCAGTTCAATGTTCTTCTCACACACACCCCCACTCTTGGTTAAGGAAGAGCTTTTGTGCGAGCACGCAGTTCCTAGAGATTGGTGAAATACGCGAAATTGAATCATGGATTCCATTCAATCTAATGCCATAGCCAGAAAATTAAATGTGGCAAATGAGAAGGTTGAGATTAGGCGGGAGGGTTTGTTTTTTATAATGGGTCACTGTTTTAGGTCCATAGGGAGGTTAACCTGTTTATATATGATACTGTATTCTCTATTTTCTATACCATCAACCCTGTTTTCATGCCTGAAAGATAAACCATCAAATCTTAGAATTCTACAAGGCCTTGAAATCATAAGAACTACAGAGCACTACTCATACTTTGTGTCTCCTTTCAATCGCAGTAAAAATTACTCAGAAATCAAAAGAATTCTACCCCTGGTAATTGTAGAGCCAGGAAGAGTCAGAGTATGGAGACACTTTTTTCCCTTCTCTTTAGCCCCCATTTGGCATATTTCCTGTTTCTTAAACATTTCTGAGTCATACCTTTTTCTCTCCATTCCTGCTCAAATCAGCAGACATTTAAGGCTTACTATGTTTCAGAACAAGAAGTAAATGAGTTTATTTCCCAATTTCTGGGAACACAGTCATGGGCCAGGCTTTTGCCACCTCAAAAAATTACTATGAATAATAACCCAGCCCACATTCCCAGACTTGGGCTCTCAATCCACACTTGCTCCTTTATGCTTCGTTACATGTTATACAGCTCACTAGGCCGGTTCTGCTGCCAGCTCTGCTTCATCATATCGGTTCTCAGTTCACAGGGGCTCTGTGAACATCTGTTCTGATTAACATGCAGGAGTCCGTTATCCTACCTAATTGTCTAGCTGACTTGAGGAGTCCCTTCCCCTGTGAGCTTAGAAGCTGATGCCAAAGAAAAAGCACATCCGTGTTGCTTTCCACTAACGGTCTGTGGTAGCAGGCTTGCGGTCAGTTTAATCCTGGCATGTGTTCCTTAGTTTTAACACACTAGAATGTGTATATTGCTGTTCGTGCTTAGTTTTCAAGTGTTTCTGCAAATATTTAACCCCACCATGTTCATTTAAGTGCAAAAGCAATGAAGTCATCAAGGGGCTAATGAGTGAAGACAGATGCAAGCAAATGAGACTAGAGATATTTCAATAAAACAGGTAAGAAGAGATAAATATTACCTAGATATATAAATTTTGATACCAGGAATTTGACATGTTGGAATATTTGAGAAGTGCCTTACTCCTGCGGTCTAGCAGAGGTCAGTGAGAGGCTCGGAAAAGGAATTGATGAAATAAAAGCATGATTCCATGTTGTCGGCCCGAAATTATTTGCGGTAACTGATCTTAGTCCAGGAGAGGATTGGTGGTTTGCTGGAGAGAAAGACTTAGACCAGTCACAGGCGCTTTTATGTAACCAGAGCTGGGCCTCTGATAGAATGCTCTAAGACTTCAACCCACCACGTCCGAGTGAGTAGCCTTGGACACCTGCAGAGAACATCCAAGGGGGATGACATCCTCCCTTCTCCTTCTCTGCAGACTCAGGAGTTGACAAATGAAATTGAACATGTCACAGCCAGAGTAAGACATGACTGAAGAACTGAAAGATTGAACACCACACTTCTGACGAGGTCTTTATTTCCATTGTCTTACGAATCAGAATCAGTGCAGCCCTAACTGAGGTTTAGGGGTGAAGCCTTTTTGCCTGAAGCTCAACCAAAGCTGTGAGAGATGGATGGTACCCAGCCAGCATCATCTTGATGCGCAGGAGAGAAGTTAGTTCGTAACGTGCAGTGGGTGCCTTAGGGCTTAACTTTCTAGCAACACCTGGTTGAGAAGGGCTCGGAAACAATATGATGTTGAACACATTGGGGCTCAAGGAGCTGTTCGTTCACTGAAGGACTAGCACTGGAAGTCCTCTGGAACAAAGACCAAACTGTAAGATTTGTTTATGGAAGCAGTTGAAGGGGTACCCAGGTAACGATTGGCAGTATCCTCAATGTCTAACAATAAGAGGTTGGTTTAGTAAATTAGAGTAAGTCCTGGTAGTGAGATATTTAATGGTTGTAAACAATGATTTTTTTAAAAGGTTTGAGAGTCATAACTCTTCGTTCTTTGACTTACTAGCCCTGTACGAATTTAACATTTAGTATTTAACACCTAAATCATAGAATTGTAAGAGTAAAAGGGTGATACATAAAAACCATTAAGCACCTAGAAGGCGCTCAATAAATAGTAAGTATATGTATGTTACTATGTATCAAACAAGAAGCATATTAAACTTTTAAAATGTAAACTACAGAATTGTGTATATGTTGTGATGACATGCACGTGCACACACACACACACACACACAGACGAGAGACAGCACCATGATGCTGGCCTTAGCTGTTAGAGAATTAAGTAAACAGTGTATACTGTGATTTGTTCATTGGCTGCTCTTTATCTACCATCTTTTAAACTTAAAATGCCAGATTTATAATGAAATTAAAATGGGTTGTAGTTGTTGGCGTATGTTTAGTATACAGAATCATGGAGTTAACTTTGGGTTTTAATCTTGTTTCCTTAAGTAGCAAAAAATGAAAATTGCCTGGGAATGACTTAAGGAAATACAGTATTGAGGATGAAAAGCTTCTGCTACAAGAAATAGAAACCCTATGATGTTGAATAAAGTAAAAGGATGTTACTTTGAAGTAGTTAAAAAATGCCTTCATCTACAGTGCCTTTTCTCATAATTGCAACAACAAAACATACTAAAAAATCTTTTTTTAAGGCCAGAATGTCTCACTCAGAGATACTGTTTCACTTGAAAGAATGTGTTGTTCTGTGATATGCATATGAGAGAGAGTAAAAACCATCACTGTATTTCACTGAGTTTTAAGACTCTCTTAAATTTTAATTCACTGGCCAAATCTCAAGTGAATTAGACTCATTAATGATGCATAAACTTCTTGGACAGGTGTGGGTTTCTTCATTGTTTGGGGAGTACATTGAAATGACTGCCAGTCTTGCTACATGCTGTCTGTTGAGTTTTTATACTGTTTCCCAGAATGATTTTACTTAAGTGCAGAGTTGCCAGAAAATGCAAATAGACTTAGAGGAAGGTAGGATCCTTAGCTTCTGCCTGGCACTGAGATACAGAAAGTCCTTGTTATAGCTAGAATCTTTTTTTTTTAAGTCCTGCATATTCCCTGTTTAGTCGTTCTGACCTGTTCTGAAAATCAAATCTATGGCTTAGAAAATTCTAAAAACCGTATCTTTCCCCTTAAACGAGTACTTGGCAGAGTTATCCATCATAGGTTTTTGCCTGACACTGGAAAATTAAGACACATTTTGGGTCCTATAGTGACAGTTCCCAGACACACAGGTTGCTTTTCCCTCAAGGCCTTTTCCGTGTGAGATGTGAACGTCAACCACTTAGTGATAAGTGGACCACTCTCCGTGAATTGCTGTCACTTACTGTTCGTGTGTTTTCTACTGAGTTGAGAAAAGAAGACAATGAATTATTTTGTAAAACCAAATTCAGTAGTTTAGGCAGCCACTTGGAGATAGAAACACGGGGGTCTGGTTAACAGCGTAGTGCCTGCACCCTGAGCACTTTGTTTAGGTCGTGCAAGGGCGCACCTCCAACCCGACCTTCTGCAGTAGACCAAGGCTCCATGTCCAGTTGGACTTCCAACAGATATTTTCCCATGGCTGTGCCTTTTTTTTTTTTTTAACTTCCTGAAATCTTTGCCCCAGTTGACAGTAGTTAGATTTATTTCTTCAGGACTCACATGGGAAACATGACCATGAAAATTAGGAAAGCTAATTTTTACTGGCAGTCATTTATTTAGAAGGGTAAATGCACACTTTAAAAATTATTTTTCATTAATATTTCTGTAACTATTTGAGGTTGACATGCTATGATTTAAAAAAAAAAAAAAGCCACAATTCCCTTCAGCACTTCCTCCTCCCTCCCGCTGCATACTGTTCCCTGTCATTGGCCACATGGTGGCTGTTCTGATGGAACCATGGGAAAAGGCCTTTGTAGACCATCCACCGCTAGTGATTTATTTAACTTTTTTTCCCCAGTGACATCGTAAGAAATACATATGTACACACACCATAAATTAATAACTGAAGTCAAAATTCTACTAAATGTTTAATTTTATCAAGTGCAATGCATTATTTTACCTTCTGTTTTGTGTTTAAAAAAAAATGCTAGTCTCAACATTCTGAATTGGTTTCATGACCTTTCTGAATTGGGACCAGACTGCTTTAGCATCCTTATCTGACCAAGTCCCCACCGGGCAGGGCAGAGGAGCATACTTGGACCATCCACCGGTCTGCTCCCTCAGCACAGGCTTGAGTTCTGGCAACAATTACTGCCTAGTCATGGATCATAATGCCCACTGTTTGAGATTTCACAAATCCGGAAAATGCCAGCACAGCATTGCCAGCTAGAGGAGCTAATAAAACAAAAGGTATGAAGGACATGATCTCTTCGTGATGATACGCTCACCCTTGTAATAGTAGCTGGCTCACGTTGAGCTCTTTGTTTCTGACACGGTTCTAAATGTTGTTCATGAATTCGTTTATTTAATCTTCACAAGTATCCTGAGTAAGAGGGACTGTTATCCCTGTTTAAGCCAAGTAACAGGCTAGGACACAGCTAGGAAGTGGGCCAGGAATGCCCCGAGACAGGCTTTGCCCCCAGCAGCCTCCTTCTCAGGAAAGTGCGGTTGGTAATACTGATTTATACCGTACACATGCAGTACAGTGCAAAGTTTTTCTTATTTTGAGGACAGCTGGACTCAATTATACATCATTTCTCCTGAAAAACTCTCATTTGTAGCTTAGTTCTGTTCATCTAAATTCCGAATTTGATTTAATGCTGATTTAGGAATCTGTGAAGATAAACAAGTTTATACTGTACAGCACAGGAAACTACATTCAGTATCTTGTAGTAGCTCACAGTGGACAAGAATATGAAAACGAATATATGTATGTTCATGTTGACTGAAGCATTATGCTTTACACCAGAAATTGACACAACATTGTAAACTGACTAGACTTCAATACAAAAAAAAAACAAGAATCTGTGAACATTTGGTGGGACTGGCAGGAGAGGCACACACTTTTTCCTCTAGGCATGCATTTTAATGGATTTGAATGATTTGGGTTGAGCAAAAAGAGCAGTAGAGGTAACAATTATGAACAACAGGCTTTGCCAGTATGGTACTTGATTCGTTTATTGACTGTCGATCCCCTTCTGTGTGAAGGGCATTACAGTAGAACACAAAATAGATGCTGACCAGAAACATTACATCTGTGATGTAAATGGATAGTACCATAGAGATTGTGACAAGGAGCTGACCTTGACTTGGGGTTGAGGGGGGCAGATGGCAGGATGAAAAGGATGTTGCTAGTAGATATTTTTTAAAATAAAGACAGTGCTTTTTATTGAGTCGAATTCATGTTTGTGTATAAGTCCACAAGGAACCCTGGTAAGAGTGGAGCATAAATTCACGTGAATTTGCTGAAGATAGACTTGGATAGTCTTAGAGACTAGGAAATACAAAGCTTTGAAGAATGCAGTTTGTAACTAAAAATTTAATAACATTTTCTTTTTTCAGACACCTTCAGCAGTAAACAAGATAAAACAACTTCTTAAAGATAAGCCTGAACACGTAAGTAAAACCAATCAGACAAAATATTTAGGGAAGAAAAAACGAAGTTGTGTTTTTGCAATGAATTTATGTTGTAATAAACAGTGTGTCTTTATTAATTCAGAGTTTTTATTTTAAAAGGAAAATCTGCTCATGATTTTTAAATGCAAATAATGCAACAGGGTATCATGAAAAGGAAGTCAGCCTCTCACCCTAGACTCTTCGTCTTTGTTCTCCCTCCCAAGAGGCGGCCTCTTCATGTCCTTCTAGGGGTCCTCTGTGGTTGATTTACCTACAGCAGGGATTCTCAGCCTCAGCACTGATGAGGTTTGGGGCTGTGAAAGTTCTTTGCTGAGAGTGGATGGCAGGACTTGGAGCAGCCCCTCTGGCCTCTCTCAGTGGCACAGCCCCCCACTCCTGGGTTGTGACAACCAAAAGCAATTCCCTGGGGGAACCACTGGCCTAGACTACGCTTGTTGCATTTGCATGTCTCTCTCCTTGCTTAGGTGAGAGCACACCCTACGTGCTGTGGGTGCACTTTGCTTTGCTCCTAATAACATAGCTTGAAGAGCTTACTGTATCCTTCCAGAAAGATCTTCATTCTTTGTCACGGCTGCATATACTAGTATATTCCATTGAGCAAGTTTAGGTAGCCAGTCCCTCATGTTGAAGGTCTTTTGGGTGGTTCCCGTTCGGTGCTGCCGCACTCATTGTTCAGCAAAGATTTAGTGTCTGTGGTGTGCCAGGCCCATTGTTCCAGACCTGTAAGCATAGCTTAGAGCGTCTGTGTAGGCTGTGTTCTAAGAATTGTTGTGTAAGGGGTGTGGCCATCACCTTAATCTTAGTGCATCTTAATTGCCTAAGGAATATACTGTAAATGACTTCCAAGACTATTAATATTTAGTAACTAGTCTACAGAGTAGTCTCCAGGTTCTGTTGTATAACTTACAACAGTTCTAGCATCTTCCTCATGAGAATGATTAAATTTCAAGTATGTCAGTGTTCTGACTCAATTTGGATAGACTAATGACTATAGATTGACCAGATGAAACAGTTTAGCTGTGTATATTTGAGGGTGTTTGTTTATGTTCACATGAAAAGGGCTGAGGGACCACTTCGTCGGGTGTCATTTGTGACATAAGCAATCCCTTTTCCAAACTCCATGTACCCCAGAGCTGTATTCTCACATCTTTAAGTGTCTGTATCCATCCCTGCTTGGACTTCCTGCTTGCTTGAGTCTTCTGTTTGCAAAGATAAATACTAAGGTAAACAAATACTGTGTGCTCCAGAATGTCACCCAGGCAGTTTATTATTTACCAGGCTGAAAACGTTAAATTCCCTCACACGTTCTCTAAGCTGTCCCTCTGAAGGTGAATAAAACCACAGTTTTATTCGGAGGAGAATGCTCTCTGAATGCTCCAGCTCATCAGAACCCCCAGACAGCTTAACATTCTAACTCACACTCTTTGCCAAGTGTCTTCCCACTTTATTATTGTTTTCCTGAAGCAAGCACACACTACTGCTTTTCAGAGAACCAGAATCTGCTTGGTGCAGTGATATTTGCTATGATAATACTGTGCATTTAATGAAAAAGTAGATAGAATCCAAGAAATTCAGTAGGCATTGGTAGAAAATTACAGTATGGTAGACATCGGTATTTTAAAAGCGCTGCTGGTCACTTTTTAAACTTCTCACATCTGTGTTGACTGCAGTCTTTTGCTTCCTGGTACTTGAGAATGTTTATCGAATCGAGGCCCCGTGCCGTGCAGTGGCAGTGTTAGTGCCAGGGGCCAGCCTGTGAACGGTGGTGAGCGTAACTATAGGGAAACTCCCTGGGAGCATCTCACGTGATGAGGTGGAGCAAAAATATTTTTCCTTTTAAAAAAGAAAGGCAGTTAGCACAGGGAACTATATGGAGTTTATTATAGTAACATATAATAGAAAAGAATCTGAAAAAATATATATGTATGTGTATGTATAACCCAATTGCTTTGCTGTTCACCTGAAACTAACATTGTAAATCAACTCCACTTCAATAAAAAATAAAATTTTTTTTAAATTAAATGTTATTAAAAATGTTATTCTCAGCCTAAATGGCTAATAGTAAGGGTCAGGTAATAAATGTGCATTAGGTATAGTGCAATATTATGTAGGTATTACTTGCAGATGATGATTACAAAGGCTAATTACATGGAAAAATGATGTCTTAAGTGGAAAAAACAAAGCAGAAAAACTTATTTCTGCTGTAATAAGTACTATGTTTAGATTATATAGAAAAAACATACAAACCAGTTTTTTGGGGTAGGAGAGACTAATTTCGGGGGGGGGTTCCCCTCTGCATTATTTTCTGAATTGGTTTTTATTCTTTTTGGATCCCTGCTAGTGTTATAACGATGTTCTGATAGTTAAATTGTTTTAATTCTTGTTTCCCATTCTGCTTATACTTCCTAAAGGGATGTTTTACAGCCATAAATCTACTATTTACCTTTTAGCTTTTGAAGAAGTGAATAATAACAGATAGCCAGGGCTTTTATTAATATAATTGTTTGATGTGTACTACTTAAGAACTAAGTTTGTATGTCCCATGCCTTTTCAGGTAGGTGTGAAAGTTGGTGTCCGAACCAGGGGTTGTAATGGCCTTTCCTATACTCTAGAATATACGAAGACAAAAGGAGACTCTGATGAAGAAGTTGTTCAAGATGGTGAGTTTTAAACACACTCTCCCTAGACGCTTTGTTTTACCTAAAATATTTAGCCTTGTGCAGCGTGGAGAGTAATGATGAGGATAACAGTGGGGGTGGTGCACGTGGTGCTTGCTGTGAGGAAAGCGTGGTTCCATTGACAGATTTACATCTATTAACTGATTTACACGCAGCAACCCAATGAGAATAGTACCGAGTTGTCCCCATTTTGCAGGTGAAGAAACTGAGGCACTGAGGGGTTAAATAGTTTGCCTAAGGTCACACAGCCAGTAAGTAGCCTAGTGAACATTTGAACTGAATTAAGTTCTCCAGAGGCTTTGCTCTTAGTAACTAAGTATTGAATAAACTTGTTTATTTGTTTTGGTTATAAAAGGTGATCATTGTGTGCAGATAAGTCTTAAGATGATAAAACTTAAGAATGAACTAACCACTTTGATGTGAAGCATCTGTGTCAAATAAATAATGTCATCTCCTGCTTTTGAAGAGTCTGTATTTCTAATTTTTATTAAAAATTTCAGTGCTTTAATTATATTTTGCCACCTGCTCCCTGCCCCTACCCAGTAATCTGATAAAACCTATTTAAAACAAAATAAACACTGCCACAACCTCGGGGGGAGCCTCTGTATGCATGGGTCCTGCAGCGCTGGCTTTGTATGTGCTATTAGCCAGCCTTCGTGGCTTTCTGGTTTGGGTTTGTTTTATTGCACTGAAGTTACTGACCAATAAAGACATTTGTTAATGTATTGTTTTTAAAATCAATGCATAAAAATATCTAAAACCTTAAATTGTTGAGCTTAAAGAAGAGGAGATTTAATAAATATAGTTTATATTTAAGTAATGACTCAATTTCTTATGAGGAAGAAAGCTTTCTTAAACCAATTACATTTATGAAGATACTGACCTCTACCTGTATGTTAACAAGGGAGTTGGGTTACTACCAGTTTCCCAGCCCATAAGCAGAAAAACAGAACTGCTTATACTGGCGTATGATTTAGCCCAGTTAAACTAGCCAACTGTATCATCGTCCTTTGTGTTTCTCTAGGCTTGACAGCGTGTTGTGTGGACAGATGCCATTTCAGGATTTTCATTAATTTTGTTGACTCAATCTTTACAAAACTCTCACCGAGAATATACATTTTCTTCATGTCACAAATAGGAAAAATAGGTGAAGTATACAGAAAAGACAAATTCTAGTTTTATGTAGAATTGTCTTGGAATTTACTTGTGTTCAACAGTCTAGCCTATTATAATTGTTTTTGACATGGATTATTGTGTGGGAAAGGGAACAGACAGGAAACTGAGCGCTGCATCCTTTAAAGGAAACACTGAGACAGATTCAAAAGCTTCCTGTTCGCCTTTTGTTAGTAGTGTGCTTTGACTCAGCAGGTTCCATAGGTTGGCAGGCTTTGTGTGACATGTGTTTTCTTCTCCCCAAGGAGTCAGAGTGTTCATCGAGAAGAAAGCACAGCTAACACTTTTAGGAACGGAAATGGACTATGTTGAAGACAAATTATCCAGTGAGTTTGTGTTCAATAACCCAAACATCAAAGGAACGTGTGGCTGTGGAGAAAGCTTTAATATTTGACTCCTCAGGACTGTTTGGGCCGTAGGCCCCAGGAGAGCCGTGGAACTCTAGGGCTTGTTGAAGAAATCATGTGACTGTCACATGCTTAAGGTTTGTAACATGTGGCTGTCTTAAGAGACAAATAAAGTGACACAATTTGAAAATGGAGCCAGTGTGTTGGATTCCAGAAGAATTGATATTTGTGTTCTTTTTAGGGGACAGAAAATGAGAAGCCATGCCTCTCTTTGCATCATTTTTCTGCTCTGTAAAGAAAAACATGTTCCACTTTGCAATTAATTCTCTTGCATCCTTTCTGTTAGAACCAGTTTCATGAAAGTTGCCTTCATGGGAGGACTTCGAGAAGCGTGTTCTTAACAGGTGTGCATTGGTAGGTCTGTTGAAGAGCTTGAATGTACCTCTCCTGACAAGATTGATGGCATTTAAGATTCAGAGGCAGGGAATCTTGACTGCTGTTGTGGTGGTGCATTGCTTTTCTGGTACAGCGTTTCTACATTTTTATCCAAAATTTCACTGTCATGTGCCTCATTTGCTTACCCTGTAGCATCCCCAGTCATTAAAGTATTGGAGAAAGATTTCCTGGAACTGTAGTGCAGAATAGTTCTGAGTGATGGGATCAAAAGGTAAGAAGTACTTCACCCACCTGTTTTTAAATCTATGTCTTTTGGTACCCCAGGTGTCTGCTCAGAGATGGGATCTCAAACTGACTTAGATCCTTTTAATAAGAAGGTCTCTTAAAAGCCCACCCCCTCAGTTACGTACCAGGGGAAGCAAAACCCCAGGGAAGCTGAAGGGCTTTTGTCCCCCTCGCACTGCAGGCTCCGGCTAGTAGGGGCAGAGCCAGGACCACCCACAGCTGCCCCTCTTATAGGTGACACACCAGCTCTGTGCTCTGAGGCGGTCGGTGTAGGTAAATGGGTGATCTGGCTTCATTATCTGGTCAGCATTTTGATAAGATTGCTTTGTCATTTGGAGAGCATATTTAGTTTTATTTTCAGTGAGAAAAATTTTATGTTAAAACCCATTTATGCAGATTGCCATCTTGTTTCACCAGGACTGTGGAACAGTGGTTTGTACTAGCAGGGAAGACAACATTGTGGCAACCCAGAATTTCAGCACGTGCTAGTCATTGTGAAGTGAGTGTGGGCATCTTTTCTTAGGATTTCCAATATGCATACGCTTTCTGGATCCAAAGTCCAGTTGCTAAAATTTTTAAGCCTAGTGTTTTAACCTAACATTTTTATCACCAACTTTTCCTTAGCAGTGTTTCTTTTGTCATTTAGTTATTGATTTTCCTGGGTTTGACATGTTGAGTGTTCCATGAAATGACGTATGTTGTTTTGAAAGCCAGTTCTTATGAATTGAAGTAGCTGAGTTCCTTTATGTTTGTCATATTTACTAAAGTACCTGGCACAAAATGCACCAAAACCTAGAGCAGTAGCTTTATGTAAGTGCTCATGAGTTTGTATTGTTAATTTAATTGTCAACCCACTTAAAATTTGTGCAATACTGTATATATGTAGAGATTGAGTTGCCAATAAAAAGAAAAATGTCTCTTCACGATCATAAAATTGCTTTTTCTTTTAAGAGAGGATGGCTTGGGAATAGTAGCCATTATAGCTACTAACAAATAATCTCATATTTTTCTAACCGGTCTCCTTGCTGCTGAGAATTTTCCCCACCCGATTCTGTCACATCCAGTCTTTCAGTTGCTGGGTTCCCCATGCGGCCCACTGACGGAATCATTTCAGTTATTCTGGGCTCCAGAGTCCTCATCATTTCTTTTCTATTTCTGCCGTGTCTTTCTCCCTCCTTCAACATGAGGATCATCCATGCTGCTTCCTACAGCCTCCCACGCAGATTTCTTCCTTCCTTTCTCGCATGTTGTTGTGCCCACCAGGAATGCTTTTTTCCAGCTCTGTCCTCAGAGCTTTGTTTATCTCCTGCAGAAGGGTTCTTAATAGTTGCCTTCAGACACATTTGTGAGCACCTGCTCTCTGCCATCCCTGAGGCTTCGCAGATAACCAGAAACAGCCTCTGATCTCAAAGATCTTAAGGGTTGATACATGAAAGAGACACCCATGAAAAGAATAGAGTAAGTGTTGCTAATAGCATTTATCCCATACTTGCTACATGCCAGGAACTGTTCTAATTAACCTCATCTTCACAGCAACCCAGTGAAGTAGGTCTGATTATTTTCTGTCTCGTAGATGACAAGCTGAAGAGTGGCGTGGATAAAATAGGGGACCTAAGGCAGCATGGTCCATGGCCAAGCCAGGATGATGACCGGGGCCACCTGGCTCCAGCCCTGTGCACCTCGCCCTTAGGCCACACTGCGTGTCATGTTAAGAACCAAGACCGGGGGTGCACTTCTAAAAAGGTATCTTAGAGGTTATGACCCCTGAACTGAGTCTTAAAAGATGTAGATTTAGGGAAGAGAATTGCAGACGTGCTGGGAGCCCAGCGCTCAGGAGACTGAGACGCAGGAGGGGCAGGAGACAGCTGGGAGGCAGGGCAGGCCTGGGACGAGGGCTTTCTCTGGGTTCTGTAGGTGTTGGGAGCCGCTGAAGTTTCTCACAAGGGGCGGGTCATCAAAGCAACTGCATTTAAAAGTGTCACCCTGGCTGCCCGGGGAGCATGAGAGGCTGAATGAGGAGGTTGGACAGGAGGAAATTCCTGCAAAACCCCAAATAGGACCTGTGGGAGAGACAGGTGTGAGGAAGGCTTAGGTGAAATCAGTGGGACTCTGTTAACACCCCAGCCTCACCAAGACCATTCTTTTATGGCTCATGGCCAATCCCACCAGCAGTGCTTGGACTGGTGTTTGGGTTTTGGTTTGATTCCTGGTTAATACTGAGAGGTTCTTGAAGACAGAAGCACTGTCATTTTCTTTGATACTCATCTAACATCAAGGCACATGGTAATTATTTTTGCCAAGATGACTGTCCTACAGCCATAGCATGTTTTGTCTGCGCTGCATCGTATCCGTAGAAGCTCTGCTCCAAACCCTGGGCATCCTGTGAGGTCACTCCATGGTGCCCCTGTGGGGCTTGCAGGCCATCACCTGCCATCAAGGGAGCGTCACGCAGAGGCAGAGCCAATGGCTGATCCCAGTTAGACCACCTTTGCAAGCCCACTGTACTCTTCATAGCAACATGCTGATTGGGTGGCTCGGCCACTGTGGCTCAAATACCCCTTGAAGAATTTCGGGAGATGAGGGGGTGAGGGGCCACTGTGCCGCACGGCTACAGAGCGTCTCCCTGCCCTCTGTCTCTGGACCCACAACAACATTTTTTTTCTCAAAGAAAAAAGGGTGGAATGGGGTTGAAGAAGTTCCTACATGATCAGATGTCCCTTGGATTTCCAGTACTTCCTAGGTTTCATTATGTAGGAAATACCTTAAAAAAGAAAATGAAAGAACAGCCTTTCTTGTCTCGTTTTGATGGCTGAGAGATCAGGAAATGCGAAAGCCTGTGATGTTAAGTTTCCTGGTAATTCCCATGCCATCCAGCAACTGTAAGGACCCTCGCAGCCTGCAAAGGTTTCTAGCCATCAGGGTCCCATTTGTGTCTCAGAGCAGACAGGCCCCAGGCCAGAGAGACAGCTTCAGTGTGGAGTGAACACAGATGCGATGCAGACGTTCAGCTAGTTCATGGGAGGCTGGTGAGCAGGGGAGGTGTAGGCTGAGGGTGAGATACACCTGGATTGCTCACGGGCTCTGTCATCGTGTGGCCTTGTGACCTGGCACAGGTTATGTGACTTCTCTGGGCCTGTTTCCCCTTCTCTAGAACTGTCTCAGAACTGGGGAAGGTCAGGGAGCTACCTGCACATAAACAGCATCCAGCCGAGAGTAGACGCTCAGCACGCTGTGGTTCTGTGACCCGTGGATTATCAGTCAAAGCAATAGTTTGTGGAAGTGAGAGTTTCCACACAATTAGGAAATCCCATACTAAAATCTGGGGGAAAACTGTATTTCTTTCAAATGACCACAGCAGCACGTCTGTAAAGAACTAAAAATACAACTATACAGAGAAAATTGTATCCTGTTAAGAGAATTCCTGTGTAAAGATGAATTTGCCTTAAGCAAGCTGAACCCCCTGGGCCCGGGTGTGCCACACCAGACTTAAGAGGAAGAGCGGGGCTGGAGGTCCACCCTACCCTCAGCCTCTTTTGAGATGCAGAGCCATATGGGGGTTAAGTCACCGTGGGATGTGTGATGTCAGCTTCCTCTCTCCCTCCCACAAAATCTTTGGTAAAGATTATGATTCTCGTCAGTGGCATGAAGTTCAGTCTTCTCCAAGGCAAGGGCTCTGTCCAGCAATAGTCCCCCAGCTTAAAACTGTATTTTTTTGGTAGCTTACTGGGTTGCTTCATGGTTCTACTTCCATGAACAAGTAATTCCCAAACTGTTCACTATAAAGTACCTTTTTATTCCCCGTGGAATCTGTGTCTTGAAGCAGTTCTTCTCAGGCTTTAGGGTGTAAATAAGTCACGTGGGGATCTTGTTAAAATGCAGACCTGATTCCAAGGGTCTCGGGTTCTGCACATCCAGCCAAAACCCAAGTAAAACCCATACTTTGGCTCTGCTGACCACCTTTGAGTGGCAAGTTCTTCATCTCTGGAGGAATTTGGTAGGAGTAGTAATTTTCACTGGACACCCACATGGTGCTCAGGATTTCTGATCAGCATGAGACACCCACGTTCCCACCCTGAGTGGACAGAATTTAAAGGCCAAGACTGTACCTGGCGCTTTGACTCCAAGTGCTGACTGTGATTTCCCTAAGGTATTGTTCTAAAATACTAAAAGGGTCTTGGGGACCCCAGGCCCATTTTTCTTAGTAGCTTTTTGGTAGCTGGGATCCCCAGCTCGGCCACCACTGCCTAACCGGCAGAACCAGGGGACCCTCAGGGTCCACTAGTTTTTGTCCTAACACATTTGACCCAGAGCTTTCTTTTTTTTTTTTTTGTCATTCTTTCTCTATTTTTTTTAACATTTTTTATTGATTTATAGTCATTTTACAATGTTGTGTCAAATTCCAGTGTTCAGCACAATTTTTCAGTCATAAGAGCTTTCTTAAATAGAGAGACCAGGTATGACATTCCAGGAGAGCTAAAGAAGGGAAAGGTCTTCTGTGGCCCTTCTTCGAATGCCCACGTAAGGTGGCATGGGACCTTGCCTTTCTCAAGAGATGTTTTGTGGTAAAACATACATAGCATAAAATTGACCATTTTAACCATTTTTAAGTGTAAAGTGCAGTGACATGAAGTACATTCACATTGTTGTGCAACTACCACAACTGTCCGTCGCTGAAGCTTTGTTGTTACCCCAGCTAGAACTGTGCACCCATGAAACAGTAGCTTCTCATCCTTCCTCCCCATAGACTTGACTACTCTCGGTACCTCATATAAGTGGAACCAATTTGTCCCTCTGGTGGTATTTTTTAATCTTGTTTGTCAGCATTAGACTTGGCCTCAATATACTGACCAGTTTTTTAAGCCACACTAATAAAAAGTCTTAATTATTCAGCTGTGAAATTGCCCTTTGATGGTCCGTCCCGTTGATGGTTATTTCTGAACACTTAGGGGCATTTGAAGAAAAGCATCAAAGGACTATACAATCCACTGACCTAGTTGAAATTCTCCATGAGGACTCTGGGGCAGAAACTTTATCAAGTACAAGGAAGTAAGTTAAAGATAAACATGTAGGACTTCCCTCACTCCTGTGAGGAAGTTAAGTCAAGTAGACTGACTTGGTGCTGCAGCAGATCATTTCTTGTTCCTTATTTTCCAGTATTCAGTCCATTTATTCGTTCATTCTATCAGTCGACAGAAACTTGCTCCGTGCCTGCACTGTGCTAGGACTTTTTGAGGCCCTGGGATTGACAAAATGTATATGGCCCTGGATCTTACACATACTATTTACTCAAAGTAAGTAAAATGTGTTGTGAGTAAAGTGAGTCAAAATGAGTGAAACCTGGTGTTTGTCCCCTAGAAAACAGACAGAGAAGGCTGTAACAGCCATGGGGGCTGCCACAGGGGAGGGGCGACCCCAGGGACTCACGTGGGGCTGGGTGGGCTGCTCCAGGATTCAGAAGAGGTTTATGCATGATGTGAGAAGCCTGGGATGAGATAGAGCCCTCCCTGCCTGCCAGCTTGAGAGTCTGTAAGTCTTTGAAATGTCATGTTCAAAGATTAACTTTTCAGAATAGAGAAAGATAGCATTTACTTAAAGCAACTTAATGTGAAGCCAATTTACAGAGAAAACTGAGATTGTTTTATGTTTTACTCTCAACATAGCCAACTTCTCTGTATCTTAAACTCAGAAATACTGCAGAAATTCAGATATTTTTCCTCTTCTTAGAGGAAGACAGCAAACATTATCAAGTCTGCATCACAGAAGAATCAACAAACTTAAGTGTGTAAGGTCCACCTGAGTAGAGACCACGCCTGTCTCACTGCACCCCGTCTGCCGTCATTCAGTTGCTACTAACACCACCAAAACACCGCCCCTGCACCCCTGTTACCCGAAAAGTGGGTTTGCCTCTTGGTACCTGTCAGGTCAAAGACACAA